AAAAATGGGAGGTTTTGAGCACTGTCCACTTCGGCGCTGTGCGAATCGCACAGGGTCACTATTCGCGGCGGTACCTTGTTTGTGAAAATCTTTGGGAGGCCATGCTTGTTCGGTTTCAAGACCCACGCCAAATCCCAGCAGGGCGTTGGGAAAATGGCTGCTGACTCGTAGCGTCAGGTGGGTATGGCCCAGCAGGCGGTCATGGCGCGAAACATGTGGTGGGGCACTCGTTTTCAATTCAGCCGCTGGCTGTGGGAGAGGGGAAAAGCAAGTTCATTCGAGCTATCAGATATCATGAATGTTGGCCCGCCACACTGCACATTCACCTACAAGATCCTGCCTGCAGCATTTGGTAAACTGATTTCACCAATCCAGCTCACTTCACTGGCTTGATGTCACTTCCATTTCCTTGCCGAGTTTGCTTTTCCTGCGCCAAACTCGGCGCTTCGCCGCTCGTGGCCCACCCAGTTTAACTGCCTTGCCCTTGCTGCCCAAGCTGCAGACTGTGAACCTACCGTCCCGGAAGCTCAGCGACGACCTCCGCGGTGGAGACCGCAGGAACCCGACCCGGACCGTTTCACCCAGTGGAGTGAGAGGACTGAGAGGACTGGAACAGCACACGCTCAAAGCGGATGGGTGTAGCAAGCCTAATTGCGAAGAGCTTCATTTGGACCGAATTAGAGGCTACAGTATTGGACTTACTGTACATGCGAGCCTTTCTAGGGCCACTCATTTATTCGAAGACATGTGGAGACAGTTCATCAATGTTTGCCATTTCGAGGTGTGGTCAATCATGGCATGTTTTCATGAGCAACGGTTTCTTTTTCTTTTTGCTGCATCGCTTTGTATAAGTGGGGTGAAGCTGAGTTCATTTTTCTCGCGGGTTGTTTACCTTGTGTCAAAGATGTGTGAGAACGGGAACTTACGCATTACAAACCAAACAAAAGTGCACCGAACAAAAACATCCAAACGCGCGGTATGCAGTATGCCGATGAAGTTGTACGCCGAGGTTTACCGGTGCAGAGTGGCCTGGAATACAAATGGAGAAGCTGGCCCATGGCTTAGCATTGAGGATTGTGGGTTGCCCACAAAGCTTTCATTTGCATTCATGTGCTATGTCCATGTTCCAACTGTAGTTGGAATTCAGTGCAAAAATGCCTGATACATACAAATGATTTATTTATTGTTGCACCCCACAGTTGCAACTGGTTGTCTTGAAGCTCCGCATGGCTTGCAGTTGAACAAGGTGGCCACCTTGCTGTGGGAAGCTCCAAGGCTTTTGGGGGCTTACTGATCAGTGTTTGCATCACTAGGGCCTGAGGCTTGGTACGATACTCAGTGTGTTTGGGAGTGGTACCTTGCAAATCCGCCGCTAGCCATTAGCTATGTTATCGCATGCTAAACAACTACATTTAGGTGAATGGTTTGTGCCAGGATGCAGCAGCTCAATCTTCCGGAGCGTTGTTGTCTTCGACCACAGGTGCTGAAGAAGGCCACGTTGGGCTATCATGGGCCATCAAGTGCAAAGTGAATGAATGGCCACATGGTACAAAGCCACATGACCCTCCTGTGGCAACTGTTGAAAATAAAAAAGAACTAGGATACGGCTGGGTAAGCTGTAAGCTGGTTATACAGACAGCAGCCGTTCCTTCATATACAGTAATATATAGACATTTTGGACTTGAAGTTTTTACTCAAAGCTTCTGGCTTAGGCCCTCCAGCAGCACCCAAGAGGGAACGAACAGAGCTCAGCTGTGACTTGGGACGCAGTTACAGTGACACCTTTTCCTTTGCGCCTGGAGGTTTTCCGAAATTGTTACAGGTGTTGCTTTCTACTACCAATTGAATCAAGTGTGTGACACTGTGTTTGGATATTTCTTCGCATTTCTTCGCCTAGGGAGGTCATCAAAGCGTGAGCTTGCAATATCTTTGGCCCCTGTCAGGGGTGGTTGCCTTTGGAGGCCCTGGCGTCCTTGTCCGGCGGCTTGAGAGTGTGTAGAGGTTCCATTGACACTGAGTTGGGGGAAGTTGTTGCTGTGGACAATGTCTAAGTAAGCTTCTTTGGAGCGAAGGAAAACAGAAATGTTTGACAACGTTTCAACGAGACAGTTCCAGGATACATAAAAGTTGCGGCTGAGAATTGCGCATGATTGGACACACATGAAATGTCGCACACACGAATAGAATAGATCGAATAGGATGGAACGCTGCACGAGCAGCGTTAGGGGAGCAAAAGCAGCTTGTGTTTGACTTGTGTCGGGTGGGTTTGGGGTATTATGTGCAGTTGCGGTCAGTTGTGGTCAGCGTCGAGTGCTGGGAGACCAGGTGTGTTGTGATTAAAGGGGGGAAATGACAGGCCCTGAGCAAGGGTGGCCAAAGGTGATAGTGCATTGTGCACTGCACAGTTCTCAATCGGGCATTGATAATTATATGATTTATATGTTTTATGCATTCATAATAGAACAGTCAGGGTTGCGGAAGGTAGGCGGAGAGGCATCATGTGCGGCACAGTTCTGGCGCAGCTCTTTAGGGTATTAACATCTTACAGGGTTCAGAGTTCAGGCTGCAGGAAGAGGCTCACGGCTTTCATATGCTTGGGCACGCGTGGCCAGATGTTTGAGAGGAGTATGAAGAAGTATACACGCGTGGAGAAAAGTTGGAGATTCTTCCAGAGAAACCTCGCCTGAATCTGATAATTCTCAGAGACAAGCGTCAAAAGTTCAGTTTTCTAGTAGAGAAAAGTTGCCTAGAGTAGAGCTTTCGATAGAGAAAAGTAGCCAACAGTAGGGAAGCATTCAGAAGTAGAGACTTTGTATTGGATAGCATTCCATAGCAGAGATTTCGACAGAAGTGCATTAGCCAAAAAGGAGAGATTCCGAGAGAGCAATATATCATCGTAGAGATTTTGCAGCATGAATACATCGCTACTAGGAGCAAGGACGCTACTAGGGGCTCCTGGCATCGCT